TACTACATATGTAACAGAGTTTGCATACAAATACTAATAAGTTATAGCGCATGTAAAAAACAAATGTTCTTAAAGGAAGTAGAACGATATTGATTACCGTTGCATTATATCATTATTGCTAGCAATTAAACGGCAAATTTTTTTATATTTCTAAGATGGACATAGCCGTTTTATATGTAAACTAAGCATTTTTGTTGTCGTGTTTATGGATACTATAAGGGGTAAAATTTCTAAAGTTATGGCCATTTTTTTAAATGTTGCATAATACAAATTACTTGCCAGCATTTTAAATTGTTTTTGGATATAATTGTCATTAGTGTTTCGAATTCTGCATAGTAGGCCATCTACAAAATATGGTTTAAAAACATGTATGTAAATTGAATATTAATTAGAAATGATATTATATTGTAGAAACAAATTCACTGGACAATTTCGATATTTTCTATTTTCTCTTGGAATATTATCGTGCCTTCCCTTTTTTATCTCCAGATTGTGAGTTGACAGTCTAAATTTGGTTAAAATATTTGTAATGATTATAATTGCTTGGTCATTTCAATAAGTGCATTGATGCAAATCTTAACACTAATTTGGGATTTGTATATATAATAACAAATAAGTACCTTAAAATATTTATACAGTTTTCATTTATCATCTATTCTTTTAATTACTTTATTAATTTTTTAATTTTCATATTTATATATACGTCAGGCTTGTTTTATTATTATATTTTTTCAGAAGTAAAAAGATGGTCTCTTTTTTAACAAAAAAGGTTTTAAAAAATTTTCCCGTTGCCTCTTTTTAAAAAAAAAGACACACCGTTGGCCTTTTTCTATATCAGAAACCCGGGAAATAAACCCCCAATTTTCTCTCAAAATCGGGGCGGGGGAAAAAAAGATAAAAAAATTTTAAAAATCAAATCGTTTTTCGGGGGATATTCAAAAAATTTTTAAAAAAACGGAAAAATCGAGAAATATAAAGTACTCGCTGATGTTTTGGGCCTTTTAAAAATTGCATTTTTAAAGTTTTTTCTGGCTAATTTTTGTTTGGGGTCAAGCTCATTGCCCGGATTTAAGCTTAAATGAAATTATGTTTTAAAGGGTGATTTTAGGGCCCGTTGCAAGAAAAATTTGGGTTTTTAATTCCTTTTTCTTATTGCGAAAAATTTGGACCCAATTTTTTTGTTCTATAAAATGAGCTTTATATTTTTAAAAAAATTGTTTTTTAAAAATTTTGGGGGCCTAGAAGAAAAAGCCTTTTTAAAGATTTTTTCCTGCTTTAAAAATTTTTTAAAGAATGAGAAATGCCTTATTTTTTACTTTTTTATGGCCTTTGAAAAATTTGGGCTCACCCCGACAAAAAAAATGTTTCAGATTTTCCCCGATCGGGTTTCCCCCCCCCGGAAAGACCAAAAAAAAAGTGTAATTTTTGGGCCAAAACCCCGCGACCAAAGGAAATTTTGGTGTTTTGGATTTTAAAAAATTTATGTCAATTAGGAAAAAGGGTAGAACTAACACAACTTAGTGCAGTCTCGGCAGTCACACTTATAACAAGGATATTACAGAGATGGAAGTACCACCCGAATGAAGATGCATTAGTTAGTGACGCCAAACAGTTCATAGAGACAATCATTCAGAGTGAAAACCACGAACTTGCTTCTGTGCCTCTACTTTTAATATATACAACCTGTTTATGGTGCGAGGGTGTTCAAATAGGAGATTCAAAATGTGAGCTTTATATAAATATAGTCGAGCTCCTTTTATCGAGAACGATTCAGATCCACGGTGAGCTTCCACAATCACCGGAACTTTCTTCCAGTGACATCCCAAAATGCTTTGCTGAATATGATAACTGTACGAAAAACTATTCACTCATGATGCATATAGGGAAATTAGCCTATTATACACTATTCAATGAAACAAAAGAAAACACGCTGGTATTTTTGAATGGATTCAAAAATTCTAGAAAAATTATCTCCACAAGACATGAATGGAATTCCACCCTTCAATCGGAAAGTTTTGTCAGAAAGTACATTTTTAAAACCCGCGAGGGAAAAAAGTTTTAAATAAAGGGATCCTTTTTTTTCCCACAAAACAGTTTCAAGAAACTTTGCCCCCCATATTTTTTTAAGTTCTTTTAAAAAATGAAAGCTTTTAGAAAACTGTTGTTTTTGGGAAAAATTTTTAGAAAAAGTTCAAAGGGGCATTTTTTGGACATGTCAAAACTTTGGTTGGAAATTTATAGTTTAAAAAAGAAATTGCTGACCTGGGTTTTGTTTCAATATTTTTTAAAAGATTTTTTTTTGTCTGTTTATTTAAAAAAAGGGCAAAAGGGTAACACCGACTATAGAACCGGGAAAAGGTCGTGATTTTTTTTTTTTAAAATAAACCATTTTTTCGGGAAATCAGGGGAAAAAGTTTTTATTGTTTTTTTTAACCCCCCAAATGCCTGAAAGTGAAAAAAATTTTAATTTTTGTTTTAAAAAGATTTTTTTCCCTTGGGGCTTGTACACCGGGAAAACAGTGGAGCCGTTACAAACGTTTGTTAAAACAAAATTAAAACCAAACATAAAATCACTTTGTATAGAAACCTTCAATACTTCCAGCAGTTTACGTGAAATTATAGATTTATTCTCTCTCACAGATCTCAGTCATATACAGAAACTTTACTATCGTGGTGACAGCAGGGACACGGAGGCTGAGATAAATCGGATATTGTTTTCCAGTCTACACGTCGTTACTTTACGGTTTTGATAAATGGACAAATGATGAAGAAAATCTGAGTGAAAACTTTGGCGCGATGTCAAAACTTACAATATTTATATATTAGCGACTTCAAATGCTATCTCACAAAAAATACTGGAAACAATTTTCAATTTTATCTCCGGTCAAAAATCAATGAAAAAGTTTAACATTGGTGGAGTTAAACTGTAAAGACCATGGCGACCATGATTGTAAGAGATGGAACTTGGACTTTTTTCTCAACATTCAACTCTTTCAATGTTAGACTTGCGGGAGTTACCTGGGAGGCTAAAATTAAATATATCAACACCGTCATTAGTTTATGTTAAGTTGTTGGGAATCAATCTAGATGAAAGTTCATTGTTACTGTCACGTGACATGGGGAATATTAAACGTGTGGAGTTGTGGGGGATAGAAATGTCTGCAGGAAGTTTACAGATCTTTATTTCCGTGCTTAAAAATCTGCCGCAGTCAGTTACAGTAGAGATGAAAGCCATTAAACCGGAAACAGAATATGACCGTGTTAGAGAAAATATTTGGAGATCACAAACTTTTCATGTGATAGCAGACGACTGGTGGCAGACAATAGAGTTTAAAACTATAAAACCAAGCAAAGAATAGACAAGAAAAAACATTGTGAAATAAATTAAAGAAGTTACTTCAACAATTTAAATAAACAAAACAATTTAAATATGGACATTAAGAATCAAAATGGCGGTTCTTCGAACTAGATTATAGTCTTCAACAAGGTTAGCTTTTAAAAAAGCTAGTAGCGACTCGCTTCGTAATTTTTTTCAAGGGGTGTGTTTAAATGTAAAAATGACAGTTCTGTTAGCTGAAGAGACTTCAGCGAACATCAAAATAAAAGTGAAGTCAACACTGGCCCGGTGCCCGATGGCCAGTGTATATAAGTTCAGGCCAGTGTAAATTTAAGAAAATTTTGTTAATTATTTAGTAGAATAAATTCAAAAACTGGAATTCGGGCCAGTAAATTCAAAATCTTAAAACTCATTGACTGAAAGTGACATATAAAGTTCTCTCAGTTTAACCAAGATGAGTAATGAGTATATATGAAGGTGCATGTAAACAGATTGAATGAAGAACCTATGTCTATGCACATTTACTATATGGCCTGTTGACCTTGACCACAAAATGTTAGATAGGTAGATTTCATAAAGATGTCTCTTTATACAAAATTAAGTTGTAATACATGTATGTTATTTAGTATTGGAATGAGAGGCACAAGTCCTAAAGTAAACACAAGTTGTCAATCAATTCAGCCAGAAAAGCCGGGATCCTATTAAAAAATATAGGGATCCCAGAAATTGACCAGGCTAAGAAGATGTTTTTCAGATAAGCCGGGATCCTATTTTAAAAAACATATAGGGATCCCGGGAATTGACCAGTTCAAGAATATAGTTTTCAGAAAAGCCGGGATCGTATTAAAATGTAAATAGATCTCACGGATTGGCCAGTTCAAGTATATAGTTTTCAGAAAAGCTGGGATCGTTTTAAAACATACAGGGATCCCGGGATTTGACCAATTCAAGAAAATAGTCTTTGATTTTTCCAATTAATTAGGCATATAATTATAAGTATTGTGATTTCCGCATTTTAAGTTTGTTAATAAATAGCTCTAAATATATCTATATTCTAAGTTAAATTAATTTAACGTTCATTATATACAATAAAAAAAATTAACGTTTTATGGCCTTTCATTACGACAACAATCAACACAAATATAGTTCATTAGGTTTTTCCTCCATATCTTATACTATCCCGGATCCCGGGCGTTCCGGATCCCGGCCAGTAAATACATACACTAAATACCGGAAAGGATAAAATGACCGGAAAAAAGGAAAAGCCAAAAATGCACAGAACCAGATGTACACTTATGTTAATTAACCAAACGAAAACTTACTACAGAGAAAACAGGGGAAATCGCTAAATCAGAAGTCAGTGTAAATATGATTTATTGAAAAGAATTCATAAAGACAAACATTTTAATCATCATTATATCTTTGCGCTCAAAACAATACTTGCTGATTTTTAAAAATGGCGTGAAAATTGAAGGTTTTTTGACGCTATGTAAGATTAAATTTGATTGGCTAAATAATTTTGGATCCTAGCCCTGATAGATAAATTTTGTAGAAAGCTGGAAGCCAAGCTTCGATTAAATTTTTGGATAGCTTCGGAGTTTTAGGTTGTTTCTCAGTAAAATCCTACCGTAATACCGGCTCGCCGTGGCGAGCCGGCATTAGGACATACATGTAATATACGTTTCCAATAAAAACATTAATTGACAATTGATTATAGATTTAAAAAATAACTGATATAAATAATTCATGGAAGGTTTTTTACAAGTTTTTTACGGAACTTACTGGATATAAAAGTTGGACAAGGATATGGAAATATTTTACAGGTAAGAGATTTTATAGTGAATGTTTAATCTTTAATTATTATTTTATTATACATGCATATGTAAGAACTGAAATAGATTATTCACAGTGAACACGATTCTTATATTTTCTTTTACTCGAATAAAATATTTGATATAAATAAATCAACATTAATTAAATATTTTACATGAATTGTTTTTATTCTGGAATTAGTTTATTTTTGTAATAAAAATGAAGCATTTTATAAACATAGACTATAAACAGATACACAATACATGGCACGTGTTTATCAAATGGCACATCACCACCTCTACATTAAAAGAAGTTGGAACCAGCGCAACCATGTATACAGCTATATTAAAGAGAATATATGTTAAACGTTTCCTAATTTTTACTCCGGAAAGGTTATTTGTTTATTGTTTTAGTAAGATGTTATTGTTATGTCATATATTTAAGGTACGTATTTGTAATTTTATGATAAAGTCTATTTGAGCCGCGTCACGACAAAACCAACATAATGGGTTTGCGACCAGCATGGATCCAGAGCACTCTGCGCATCTGCGCAGTCTGATCAGGATCCATGCCGTTCGCTATCAGTTTCTCTACTTGTTATTATGTTTGTAAGCGAACAGCATGGATCCATGCTGGTTGCAAACCCATTATGTTGGTTTTGTCGTGACAGGGCTCATTTATCCTCTAAATGTGAACCAAGCGTGTTCAATTACAGTTCTGGGGTCTAAATATGGCCTCCCAGGGAGGTCAGTGAGTTTTTTTTTGTTTTCTTGGTAATAGATACAACTGTAAACATGTTCTTGAAAAACACAAGAGATAATGCATACAAATTTGGTATGAAACATTATCTAGTGTACCCTTACCAAGTTAATATAAGCATAGCCGGGGCGTAAAAACGGCTGGGCTCCATGGGGGATTGGGTAATGGCTCGTATGTTTTTCCATATATTTTGCAATAGAAACAAGTGTCTTCCATACTAATCATTGAATTTCTTTTGCAACCTATAATTTCCATAGTTATCATTTGTAAAGTTACCAGTGACTTTCATAGCAACCATTGACTTTGCATAGCAACAATAGCATACAACAAGGGACCTTTTGACTTTTCAAAGCAACCATTGTTTTTCAATAGCAACCTATGATTTCCATAGCAAGCATTTACTTTTGACTTAGCAACAAGTGACTTCCAAAGCAACCATTCAATTTGTGCACTATTTCAGATGCAGAAATATACTTTGTAATCTTATCAGCTTAAGATTTGTCTTTTTCTGCTTTTCATTCATAATTTACAACATAAATCAACTGTTCTTGTCATTATGAGCTTTTATGATCATAATTAACTGAGCAATATAAGACCAATCATGGATTTTAGCTACATATAGATATAAAATAGTAAGATAATGTTTTGCATAAATCCCCCATTAATAATATAATTTGCGTTTTTTATCATTTCAGCGGCATTGGATCATCATGCAAAACCTCTTGTGACGTTTAGCATTTTGATTTGTGTGGTGATAGATCAATTTTGTTGGGATGATTGGATGTGTTTTAAACCAATTCTTTGGAAACTGAAGTTTCATGCTTCTTGCATGTCAATGTAAGACTTTAAATTACCCTTTTTATTGACAGGTCAATAAAATCCGAAATAAAGATTAAAGAGTAAAATCGGAAATGATCTCCATCAAAGTATGCAAAATGTGACTATTTCGTGAAAGAACGTTTCAACTTTTTTTTTCCCTTAAGCAAAGTATGTTAAGGACATCTGAAATGTAATAGGGTAAAAGTTATAAGTTGGTTAAAACAGATAGTTTATGGCAAATGCACTTATTAAAAGAAAGTGATTAAAAGTGTTCGTATTTCTTGCAAAGAAACAAAAAAAAAAACAACAATAGCCTGGATCGCAGTATTTAAGACGTGTTGAACGTTTCGTATATGCCTGCATAAAATTTTATTAGTAAACTAACAATTGTGGGTAGCCGACAAATTTCACGTAAACAGCGCGATTGTGTTTAAAGTAGCGCACATTTCATCATTTCAAACGTATGTATAGTATGATAGAAATAATTCCAGCTTCGCAAACTATAAATTATTATAATGAATATGATTGAATTGTTTGCTTTATATATGTGCTTCTAACATGTTTATAATTTTACTTTTTTCAAGATATTGAAAGATGTTATTTACTGTTATTTACTGTCTTTTGTATTCAATATAATTGTATTTAAGTACTAAAACAAAAGAAAAAATATAAACATTCATGTCAATAAAGATGCTCTAAATATAGTAAATGACTCTAAGGGTTTAACTCAAAACAGGACTGGAGCAGTACCTCTAGACGCCTGCAGAAATCGTGATCACAAAATAGACAAATATCGTTTTTTCGCCGATTCTTACATTTTTCATTCATTATCATACTTAAATATGTATGAAAAGATGAATTAAAGAATTTAAAGTTCATCTTTTGCGTGAAAAGGCAAGATTTTGGCATTCAATCGAATTGTCCGGTATAATTACCGGAATACGGTATTTAGTGTGATGCTTCACAGTTAGATAGGCAATTTTAATGGTAATTTTCATGTTAAAAGAAGATATTGAATACTTGTTTTGTCGCAAAATGCACAAGAATTAATTGGGACAATGGCAATTGCAAATGAAAAGGTTAAATCAACGTGTGTTAATCTGGTTATGTTTCAAAACGGGTCTGATGCTGCATCAGTTTATAAGTACGTATTTTATAATTTACAAAATTAAATTGGTCAGGCGCGGCGCAGCCGTGCGACCAATTTAATTTTGTAAATACGTATTACTGAATTTTAACCGACTTGTTTTAGATTATTTTTCTAAGCCGTGGAATTAATAAACTGATTTACAGTTTGCCGATTAACCAAAGTAAATGTGTAACGATTTATTTGAATTACTGCAATTCTTTTGTACAAAAATAATTTAAAAAACTAAAAGAACTTGTTGATAAAATTTAGCGTTGTCATATTATTTACGAAACATTGGCCGTTCTTCATAAAGTAACGTGAATGTCTACTCGAATCTAAATCACTCACATGAACTTTATCTTGTTGACAGAAGGTCCGTGGTTCTATCTGGAAATCAGATCCTGCTGAAATACAGTTATTATCCCCCGCCGATGGAATAGTTTTGGCGTTGTCCGTCCGTCCGTCCATCCGTCCGTCCGAATTTCGTTTCCGGAGTAGTTCTCTGCAACTACTGGCTGGAATTCAACGAAACTTTATGGGAATCATCAATATCAAGAGGAGATGCACATCTGACCGTCCGTTGGTCCGTCCGTTAATCCGTCCGTCCGTCCGAATTTCGTTTCCGGAGTAGTTCTCTGTAACTACTGGCTGGAATTCAACGAAACTTTATGGGAATCATCAATATCAAGATGCGCATATCGTCGGCTTGTTTCGGTCAGACACTTTAACTCAGAGTTATTGCCCTTGATTAGTTATGTATGTTGCATATAGAGTAAAAATCGTTTCCGCGCTACTTCTCTGCAACTACTGGCCGGAATTCAACGAAACTTTATGGGAATCATCAATACCAAGAGGAGATGCGCATATCATCGGCTTGTTCCAGTCAGACACTTCAACTCAGAGTTATGGCCCTTGATTAGTTATGCAGTATGCATATGGAGTAAAAATTGTTTCCGCGCTACTTCTCTGCAACTACTGGCTGGAATTCAACGAAACTTTATGGGAACCTTCAATACCAAGAGATGCGCATGTAGTCGGCTTGTTCGGGTCAGACACTTTAACTCAGAGTTATGGCCCTTGATTAGTTATGTAGTATGCATATAGAGTAAAAATCGTGTCCGCACTACTTCTTTGCAACAACTGGCTGAAATTCAACAAAACTTTATGGGAACCTTCAATACCACGAGGAGATGCGCATATCATCGGCTTGTTCCGGTCAGACACTTTAACTCAGAGTTATGGCCCTTGATTTGTTATGCAGTATCCATATAGAAAAATATTTGTTTCCTCGCTACTTCTCTGCTACCACCGGCTGGAATTCAATGAAACTTTATGGGATACAAGATGAGATGTGCATATAGTCGCCTTGTTCCAGTCAGATACTTATAACTCAGATTTATGGCCCTTGATTAGTTATGTAGTATTTATACATCTCATTGACATTTCCAGATTTTACTATTTAACACAAAGTTATGGCTCTGTTATTTCCCTGAATATTTATCAAGTTCAAAGAATATTACTGTTTATGCCATGATTAATATATAAATAAAGCCTTATGTCTTCAGTTGTTGTGTCAATAATAACCAGTACTCGGCGGGGGATATAAATTCAACGAATTTGCTTGTCCAATTAAATATGCTAACGGAAGGTCCGTGTTTTATCCGGATAACAGCTCACAGTTAAGTTTGCTGACGGAAAGCCCGTGGTTCTACTCGCACATCAGTTTGTCTCTAAAAAAATAATTTCAGTTGGCTTACGGGAGGTCTGTGGTTCTACTCAGATGTCTGCACGTACCTAAGTAATCTAAGTCAGCAGAAGGTATGTTTATTTGCTCTGGCAATCCGCTCGTGCCAAAATCTTAACACGAGATATCCTGTGTTGGTTTCTCTACATAGTCAAAACAGAACATATATCGTCAATGTTACTTGGAAAATATAAAAACAAGTGTTAGAATAAAATCTATGCTATCTATACTGTTACAAAATGTTTTGACTAACTCATTTATCATTTCTTCTTCTCTTTCCAGAAAAGGAGCTTCAGTAAAACTACAGTGACAATGATGACAACGTTTCAATCACGACTTGACACCTGGTTCCTGGCATTACAGAAACATACACGAAAGAAAATTGTTCCAAGATAGTTTCGTACAATCTTCTGATTCTTGGCTTAACCGGAAACGGACTAGCAAACTTTTGCATTGATTATACCATTTACTTTTTTCTTCAAGGGGAATTTACGTGTAAAAAGATACCACAACCAAGGCTGCTGTCAAATATATTCCTGAGTTCCTTCAAATGTATGTTTCGTGAATTATGGTCATACCGTAGAAACTTAAATCAAAATTCAGGGTGAAAACCTTTATTGATTTAAGAACATCTTATTGAATTAATTTTATTGTTTTATCAAATATGGGACATAAAGTATAGAGGGATAAGCAACTACCGACTGGATAAACTGTCTTATGTTGGCGTCCAATTGACAGCCGATCTTCGATATAGTTTTTAAAAAATCATTCGCCATTTGCCTTATACTTTTCTTATTTACATTAATTACAACGGACAAAAATATACACGTTCACAACTATTTTTGGTTTGGTGAAAAGAAAACGTAGCGCTTGTCTCTAGTTGCTTGTCCCATTATGTTTTGTCCTAGATCCAATGAAAACGGATATTATTAGCAGTTTATTTACTTAGAGATGCGTGAATAAATGTATTTAGCAATTAAGTATTAAAATGATACCGCAAGAAATATTAGACAAAACTAATTTATCATTGGCATTATTGTTAAATCTGACAAAGCATATACTTATAGTCTTATAATTACATGTATTGAATTTTTGTAATGTAGTTTGATTTTCCTCTTTTTTATTAGCTCACCTGTCACTTTGTGACAGGGTGAGCTTTTGTGATCACTTTCCTCCGGCGTCCGTCCGCCCGTCCGTCGACCGTCCGTAGTCCGTAAACTTTTACTTTAAATGACATCTCCTCATAAACCACCAAGCCAATTTCATCCAAACTTCACAGGAATGTTTCTTTGGTGGTCACCTTTTGTTCAAAGAATTTAATTCCATGCAGAACACTGGTTGCCATGGCAACCAAAAGAAAAAAACTTTAAATGTCTTCTTGCAAAAAACCCAAAGAGCTAGAGCTTAGATATTTGGCATGAAACATCTTCTAGTGAGTGTCTACCAAGTTTGTTCAAATAAAAGCCCTGGGGTCAAAATTGGCCCCGCCCCATGGGGTATTTGATTTTCCCTATATGTATATAGTAAAAACTTAAAAAATCTTATTTTAAAGAACCCAAAGAGCTAGAGCTAAAATATTTAGCATGAAACATGTTCTAATGGGTGTCTACCAAGTTTGTTCAAATAAAAGCCCTGGGGTCAAAATTGGCCCCGCCCCAGGGGGTCATTGATTTTTCCAATATGCATATAGTAAAAACTTAGAAATCTTCTTTTAAAGAACCCAAAGAGCTAGAGCTAAGATATTTGGCATGAGACATTTTCTAATGGGTGTCTACCAAGTTTGTTCAAATGAGAGCCCTGGGGTCAAAATTGGCCCCGCCCCGGGGGACATTGATTTTCCTTATATGTGTATAGCAAAAACTTAAAAATCTTCATGGAAAAAACCCGAATAGCTAGAGTTTAGATATTAAGCATGAAACATACTCTAGCGAGTGTCTACAAATAGTGTTCAAATAAAAGCCCTTGGGTCAAAACTGGCCCTGCCTCAGGGGTGTCATTGATTTTATATATATGTGTAAAGAAAAAACTTAAAAAATCTTCTTTTAAAAAAACCCAACAAACTAGACCTTAGATGTTTAGCATGAAACATCTTCTAATAAGTGTCTACCAAGTTTGTTCAAATAAAAGCCCTGGGGTTTAAACTGGCCCTGCTCTTGGGGGGGGGGGGGCAATATACAGGTGAGCGACTTCAGGGCCATCATGGCCCTTTTGCTGTTTTTTTCCTCCTTAATTTCTGCACAAACGATTGCAGTGTTGACATTAAAGAACTTTGAAAGGATGCTTCCAAAAGAAATTTTTACAAATTTGTACATGTTATAGTTTGCTTTTTTTAATATCTTTTTTTAAATTGTATAATTGTACATATTATAGATGTTTATTAATTGTATTATTAGTTATAACGATTTTTTCATGTTACACTTGCGTAAAGTCCCGAGTTATTTATTTACAACTATTTATATAGGGCATATGACCCTTCCAAAACTCCTTATTAGATCTTTGCATTCAAGGAAATACAAATCATCATTTATTTTGCTTAGTTGTGTTGATCAGTTTGTCTGTATACATTAAAGGCCCATTAAGCTTCAAAAAGCTAATTTCTCAAAAACTTTCAATATTTGCCGTAACGTTTGGTCATAAATAGGTTTACTGTATTTTGCTTTTGTTTAATTACCAATTCCGATTTCAATTTACATTGATTTAGTATTTTGTATGGAAGTCAACAAAACTATAGTCTTTACATTTTGCTTCCTTATAACACATAACTGTACATTCAACTTTAGTTTCTTATGTTGTTGTGCTAATCTATATCCAGTATTAAAAATTATTGAACACATGTTTGGCCTGTCTAAAGAATAAAAAAAAATATATTTCTGAGCCTTTATGTGCCTTTAAGATACAAATTTGTACATAATCTCATTGTTTTGCAAATCCATCACTTTTGATGGTATATTTAAATGGTGTAATTTTTATTTCCAAATAACTGTTTATTTTGTAGGCATCTTATAACAGATTCGAAACACATCCTCATTGGCTTTATATATGAATTTTTTGTCTGCATCTGTTGACAGTTGGTAAAATTATAGTGAATAAGTTATTCGTATGGAAGTCAAAATACTACTTTATTTACAATTTTCTACCCGTAAGACATATTACCGCATGTTCCGTATCGTTTTTTTTTCAGTTTTAAAACATCTAAAATGCAATAAATCCATTATTTTAAACATAGTTATTAAACACATATATTACATTTCTAGAGAGTTATAGAAATATGGATTTCTGAGGCATAATGAGCCTTTAAGTTGATTCAAGTTGATATATAGATGTATACATATATTACCGCCTTTAGTTTTGAGTAACTGTAATCTTGTCTAATTTGTCAAATTATTATGTTTATATGCATATATTAAGGGAACAGAAAATTACATTAGTTACGATATGTATATACAGTAAATCAGCTTAGTTTTTACACTACATACATTTAGATAACACAATAAGGAAACATTTACAATGATTGCAATAAGGCATTCTAGGCTCTACTTTAATGAATTATTTTCTTTTTCTGTTGTTGTTTTCATTTTAATTATAAAGATGACTTAATGAAATTTCAGCAATATTGCTTTAACAAATGATGTAATTTTCACTCGATACTACGACGTCAAATGTGACGTCATTTTATCATGCATGTTATTCAATACATGGAGAATATTCAAAATTTAGAATTTATAATCATATTATGTAAGCCTCTGGCGAGCATGTTATTGCTTTAGTCAACGAGTTTAAAAAAAATTAGTATTGAATCAACACGAATATAAAGAGAATAATCAAGTTTTGTTTCTGCTATTAAATACAGGATATATTTTCATCGAGTGATATGAACAATATTTATCCTGTCACTTGTATCAATTTTGGCCCGATAACAAGGTGCCGTATATTTTTACTGATCTACGGCACTTGATCACGTGGTATGCATGTTTGCCGGACTACTTTTCAAGAAAAAATATAATAATTATTATACTGTTGGACTTTATATGTTTGGTGGTTAAATTTGTTTTCGTCTCAGAGTTTCCAATAGAAACGTTCTTTACAGGCCGTTTAAAAGTGAAATAAATGTAAAACTTAACTCGTTTGCGACATTAAAATAGCGTACTTGATTTGATTGTTTTGCACGTGCTGCTTGGCGCTACACTGTGACGTCACGTAAACAATACTTTAAACGTCTGTACAGCGTTAACGACTGAATAAAAGATATTGGTGTTCGAATTCATTTTCTTAGTTAGACCATTTTCTGTCATTCTAGATAGTTTTCACAAAAAAAATTGACAAAAAATTGTTTTTATTTATCACATTTTTCAAACAAAATGGCGCCCTCAATGTGAAAATACACAGGGAGATAATAAGAACGGCGAGTGCATTGTTGTAGAATAATGCACGCTTCGGGCCGTCTTTGTTTATAACGAAACATTTCCGATAGTGTGATTAAAGGTAGGTTGCCTTATAAAATTTTAAAACAAAACGGTGACAGGATAAAAAGAATAATAGATTGGTGCCGAAGGCTCACCCAATAAATTCCTCCGCCTTGCCAGATAAACTTTCTCCATCCACGGCACCAACCTATTATTCTCTATTTCTCGAGTGGCAGAAGCTAACTGCAGTGACAATGCAGAAATGAAAATATGCATTTTATTTCATCACAGTTTCTCAATATTTCATTAATAAGGGAAGGTTTATTCTGTAATCGAGAAAGTTTATCCAGGCGAGCTTTAGCGAACCAAGATTCACTTTTGCAGCGAACTGGATAAACATTCTCCATCCCGACAACAATCTTTAAACGTTTCATTTTTACATTTTCCTTGTTTACATGTATTTTTTACTATATGACGCCATCATAGACTAACCATGTGAATTAGTGATGGAGATTAATTTCTTGCATCTCTGACAGAATTATCTACCGTTTACACCCCACCCCCCACCCCATGTAAGACAATTCGCGTGTTTTAAATGACGTAATTGACGCGCACATTTTATGAATGAATCACGTTCTTAGGACGACGTCTTTTTTCCGTTATGAATGAGTTGTATGTTCATAAGCTACTATAAGAAAAAAAGTGCGTAATGAGAATATCAGTTTTCATTATTTCTGTTCCGAAAATAATTGACATGCAAGAAAAAGAATCAAACACCGACTATTGGTACAGTAGGGAAAGCTAGCTCCCGAGAAACTGTTTAGCGGAAACTCGGCAGAGCCTCGTTACCGATGTAAACAGTTTCCCTCGAGCTAGATATTCCGGTCTGTACCGGTAGCCGGTGTAAGATTCTTATAATGTTTATCTGGCCTGATAATATAGACGGTTACTGTTGTAGGATAAATTACAATCATTTGCCTGTGTTTATGTGATAATACTTTTCATTAGTTTCTTTATAGATCTATGTTTTAATTAATGCACTATTTGGTATGCTGTTGTTTGGAATGGTATTATAAATATAAAGTAGATCTAGCAAAATGATTATTTTCATATATTTTTTTTTCGTGTTTTGTTCTGTAACAAAAATAACACTTACTTAGAATGTACGTACGTTAAACAGCTGAAGCACTTATCCCTTACTTTTGTTTATCATATAAACCGTGGCGCAGGAGTGTAATAAAGCCATTTAATAAAAACGCTATTACACTAGTGTAATAACACTTTGACATGACGTCGTTTGCGCTATATAGAAACATAGCGTTAAAAGCGCGCTAACGTTAGCGTTACACTATAGGCGCGTCATTGAAAAATTACTCATTTTAACAGTTTACTGTTCTTATTTTAAATATGTGATAAATAGAATATTATATTCGTGTA